GTCTTTAGTGGAAAAGGAGGGAAATAAAGAATACCCCACACACACATCCCGGGGGGGTGGAGTGCAAGTCTGTCCCAAAGTGCTGGAGCGTCTTCCCAGGAGCCGTCCAGAGGGTGCCGGGAGCTCTGCGTCTTCCTGGGCTGCCCCCAGGGACGGAGTCTTGCTTCCCGTGGGAAGGAGGGGAGGGGAAAAAAAAAACCCCAAAACCAAAAAACAGGCCGGAGAGGGAGGTGGTGAGTTAATATACTTCAGACTTCTGTCCGCGGGATGATTTAGAGACATCTCTCCGCCTTCCTCTTCTCCCTCCAGAGTTTGATTCATTTAAGAATGAAATCAAGTATCTCTCGACGTCGGCCTCGCAAGCTCTCAGAGAACCGCCTCCAGAGCACACTGCTAATCTCACAGTTTATTTGTAAGGCTATTGTTTTTAAAGGGAGAGAAGCAGCTCCCTCCATTATGGGAAACACTAGCAGAGAATTAGCGTTACGTCTTTCATATGCAAAGGAACGTATGCAAACGCGAATTCTGCTCTAAGTGTAGGAGCAACACCCCCGAGAAAGCGACACAAAGGATTGCTTCCTAATTAAGTCCCACCGTTCCCAGTTTCAGGTGATACATGCGAGGACAGCAGAAGAGCAGGGACCCCCTTTATGCGAGGGCTGGCAAGGGAAGAAAAAACCCCGAACTTGGACATAAATAAAATCACCGTGGTCTTAAAAAGAAAAGCTTTGAAAATTCCCATTGCTCCCAGTTCTGGCCGGATAACCCACGATCAGGATCCGATTGGGATGGGAGGAGTAGGAGAGCATTTCGTACTCCTGCAGAAATCGTCGTGAGAAGGGCGGACTGATGCCTAGCGTCCTTACTGCTCAAATCTCTCTTCTCAAACAACTCACACATACCATTTTATTGAAATACGTTTTCGATATATTGCCCTAATCCAAAACTACAAGCCACTTTGTTTCAAACCCAGTTCCATGGATTTACAACATAATCCTTTCTACTATTTCTAAATAATCCTATTTACGTTTTGTTCACTAGTAAGGCGCCTGCACGAGAATACCACCAAAAGTTACAAAAGAGAAGAAAAAAAAAAAAAAAGAAAAAGAACCCCCAAACACAGTAATTGACTACTATTTTTTCCTGTAGGAAGATTGATAATGTCACTCGAGATTTACAGTTCACAGGAAGTAAAATGCCTCTTTGAATTAGTTTTGGGCTAGTTACTAGAAGGAAGGCAGAAAGAGGACTTTTCCTTTCCGAGAGGTTTCTCCTCTTTACAAAGAGCTAGTATTTTTCCTTTTTACTCGCTTTTGTTCCTTTTATTCTTGCTCTTCTCCTGGTACTTTCTGATGTGCCTGAACTTTTAAAACGACCTTAAAAGCAAAACCCACGCTCTTCAATAGGCAGACCGGTGGCGTTTAAAAATTTATGGGGAAGAACCGCTGCAGTGACAAACCAGGAGAGCCGCGGTCCCCTGCTAACACCCAGGCAGGACGCACCGGTGTTTCACGGAGCGTGTGACACCGGCGGCTTTTCGGCAGCACCGGCTCCCCGGGAGCACCCCGGCTAGGGCGCGGGTCCTCCTCGACCTGGCCGGCCGGGGTGGCCTCGGGGGAGGCCGGGACCCCCCCCGGCTGACTTGGGCAATTGCAAGCCCTCGTCTCTCGCCGCCTGGGCGGGGGCCGAGGGGCTTGCTTATCGGGGGTCAGCTGAGCCAGCCCCCAGCGCTGACAGTTAAGACCTGGTGTTACTGCAGAGCCTGGCGACCGCGACTTGTCGTCTCTGTCGCAACGTCCGCTGGCTCCCGTCGCCACCCGGCAGGTGCCTTCTCGAAAGGGCAAGAAAGGAAGGAAGGCAGGCGAACAGCGGCGGCACAGCCGTCAGCGGCGTTTCCCCAGCCGGGACCCCGGGGCCGCCGGGTTTGCCCTGTCCCCCGCCCCGCGGCCGGCCCCGCTCCCGCTCCCGCTCCCCCCCGCTCCGCTCCGCTGCCGGCGGTGCCCTGCGCGGGCGGGGGATGCCACCTACCGGCAAGGAGCGCCGGGCGGAGGCGGCTCCGCCGGCTACGAGACGCCGTGTGCCGGGGCCGGGTGTCCGGCGTGGGCCCCCTGCCCAGAGCGGGCAGGGCAGGGCAGGACCCCTCCGGGGACGGAGCGGGACCCCGAGACCCCAAGGAAAAGCAGCGGTATGGGGGGACCTGGGAAACCCTTCTTCGTGGAACGGCTGGAACTTCCCCGACCGCCTTCCCACCACTCCCCGCCCCGGGGCTCTGCCGCCCCGCAGTCCTCCTCGAGGCAGCGGGGCTGCCCCCCTCTTGGGGCACGCACCCACCCGCGAAAGGGCCACCCCGGGCCCAGGGCCTCGGGGGCTGTCTTCCGTGTTTCCCTGCTGCTTGTGAATGGTGTAATATAACATGCATCTAAACCCATGGTAGCACAGAAGCGAGCACTGAAATGCAGGTACGCAGGCAGGGTTTATCTTTTTATTGCTTGGGCTTATTAATAATCATTATAAATTATAATTATATATTACACACACAACTGCTGCACACATATACAGAACACCCTGCATTTTGTCAATGCGGTGCATGCATGCGATGGAAGCGCTCTGGTAATCCATACAAGCAGTTCTCATGGCTCCTGCTCTTCACCCGAGCCTGGCAGCAAGGCTGGGCCCCTGGTGTCCACAGCTCCTGCAGGGCAGCAAGGACAGGAGCTTGCCCCTATAGCCTTGTCCCGCAGACCCAAACCTGAGAAAGTGTTCGGTGCTTTGGCAGCTCTCTGCTGCTGGAGGTGGCCAGAACAGGGGCATCCTGGCTCACATAGTGTGCCTAGGGACACTGGGCAGGAGCCGGACTGGGTGGGCCTGCCATCGCTTCCCTTTGATGTCTCCCTTGTTGTGGGGGACAGTGTCCCATGGGACCCCCACAGCAACCCAGACCACACACCTTTCCACAGCTGGGGAGCCTGTGCCCAAGCAGGGCACCCAGGACCCCACACCGGGACAGGGGATAAATGAACCTACAGACCTTTCCTGGCCCTTTATTCAAAACCAAACAGCACCCTGAGGACCATTTAGGGCACTTTCAAACAGCCACACTGGCACACTGGCTGAGGTGCTCTGGGTTTTGTGGAGCTGACCCTGACCATGCAGAAGGATGCCAGAGCCTTCTTCATCACCACACGGGTTAGGTGGCTGGTGGCGGTGTGCACCCCTGGGTGATTTGTTGAGTGTTTGGCTAGGTGCACCCTGTGGAAAGCAAGGTAGAGCCTGGCCACCAGCTACACGTGCTGGAGCCGAAGAGCCTTCCCCGAGCCTCCTGCACCTTGCAAGACACCAAAGGCTGCACTTCTTTTGGCATAGCCTTGTACATCTCCATGCCCAGATCCGAGTCTTACCTGCAGAACTGGACTTTCTGTTACTGAAGTAAAGCCATTTCTTCAGTAATTTATGCTTTCTCTCAATGTAGTTCCTTGGGCCAAAGATTGGACTGGATTCTGAGCTGCTTGTGTTACGGAAAGAATAAATCCTCCAGTAATGACCTTGCAACAGGATGGTGGTATCCGTGACAGGGACCATTGCAGCGATAGCGGCAGTCTCCAATGCTCAGTATCACAGTGACCACCATTTTAGCTCCACTCTTCTGTGGGTTTATCCCCCTCTTCCCTTGCCGTGTAGTTTTAGGGGAAGGTAACACTTCCCTTAAGCCTTCTGCAGAGGCTGGGATTACAAGCAGTGTCTGTGTGACCAGGCCAAAAAGCAATGCCTTGGTGAGGGGTGGCAGCAGCCACCTGCAAAGCTGAAGAAAAATCTGGGGCTTCCTGCCACGCATACTGCTGAAAAAGAATTTGTCACCCTTGGAGATGATGCTAATCCCCCTCCCTTACTCCCCAGCCCCCCTTGTAAAACTTTGTATTTTTCTTCTTGACCCAGTTCATGGTTTTGGGTTTTTTGTTTTTTTTTTTTTTTTTTTTCCCCCCTTTGTTCTATAATCCTTGCAGGGCAGATACATTTGCTGTGACAGGTGAAAGTCACTTCCTTTAAGGCCCTTTTGGGCCTTTAATTTCTGTAAAATGTGATTAAATGTTCTCAGGACCCTTCTGCGTGTCTCATCTAATGGAACACAAAGAGATTTTGTACCAGGTTAGACCAGGACCCGTCTAGCAGCATAAGCTGACTTCAACATCAGCCGATATCAGATGTTTAGGGAAGGATATAGGAACAGGACAAGTGTGTAAAATTGATTCTTAGCTGCCAGAAATTTAGGTTTCAGGGTTTTTTTAAAGACAGAGATAACATCTGAATTTAATAGCCTGTGATGGAATTTCTTCTGTGAATTTGCCCAGTCACTTTTTGAAATAATGTACATTTACACCACTGAACATGTTCTGCGGTGAAATGTCCCCCGGCTCTAACCACGCGTGGTGTAAAGCGTCTCTTTTTGTTTGCTTTAAGCCAGTCACCTGCTCATTTAATCCGATGTGCTCTCATTTTTGTACTAGAAGAGGCAAGCAACAACTGTTGTTAACCACCCTCTCTCTCTCTGCCGTTCATGACTTTGTAGATTTTATCATAATTTTTTTCATTGGTCAGTTCTTTTTCAGGCTGAGAGTTTCTGCTTCGGAATCACTGGATTAGAATGGAAGTAATTCAGTACCCCTGACAATCCTTGCCATCCTCTCCACCTTTTCTCGTTCAGCTCAGGCTGATTACTATTGCAATAATCCTTCAGAACAGCATGCGATGCTTAAATTTGCTTTTCCTGTTTCCATTTCAACTTCTTATTTCTACTCTTTTAAGCCAGTGTCTATTCCCAATGCTAGTCAAGGGATATCTGACTTTCAACGTGGAGTACTGGCCATCAGAGCTCATACAGCAGGGTACTCATCACATGAACATATCATGTTTGTTTAAGTTACGTTTGATTTCATGACTCCACTGACTATTGAAAGCCTTTCTAACATTCTCCACATAAGTCGTGAATTCTTTGTTGTAGACAAGGTCTGGCAAATTAGGAGGGAGATCCCGTAATTAATGTCTCAGATATTTGAGATATTTTCCATTTAATTCTGTAGCAATGCAAGTAAGCCCTGAAGGACTATGAACCCATTCACAAATACAGTGAATATTGGCAGACATGCTCTTTGTCCACTTAGAAATCCTTGGGGATAAGCTATACTGTGATCAAAGACAGAGAAGATTGATTTTTCCATCTAAAACTAAGTGGGTGGTGGGTTCCTGCCAGGGCTTGAGCAGAAATAACAGCTAGCTGCTGCAGAAGGAGAAAGGCCCTCGCCCTGTCCAGCCTCCCCACCTCTGGCCACCTGCACTCACCACTTACCTCCCACTGAACAGCAAGGTGGACCAGGAGGCTTAGAAAGCCAAAGGCAAAATCCAGAATAAATCGCACCTTCACAGCTGACAAGACACTAGTCAAAGGTGGCACATCGACAGCTACACATCTAGAGCAGGGCAAATTTAGTCCTGATTCATCCTGGGCTAAGTGTGCCGTCCTTGGATGGGACTATGCTGATTTTGGGTCACATCTTAACAATGTTTCTGACTTGTAACTAATTGTCTTAGCAGGGTGAAAAAAAATCTGTGATCATGGCTTAAATGATCACGTTCTCTTGAACTCTGTGTATAGGATGTCTACAGGAATAATCTGTTTGTGTGAGTCTCTGACATTGGTGCATAATTTTAAGGTACCATCTTTTTCACACACAGCCAGTGAGGAATATGATGACTTCTGACTTTTACCTATTCTCTAGCAAGATCTTCACTGTTAACTGACACAAAAGCCTTTCTAGGTGAGCCTTTCCCAGTCCGATTAACATGAAATCCCAAGTATTCGGCAAAGCCTGTTTTGTTTAGTGAAGGCAGGGGATTCTTCACGTAGCACTTCTCTGACTACTTTCTAGTCAGCCTCTGTGAGGTGTTATAAACAGAGAGAGGCATCCCACAGTTCATGAAAGGCTTGTGATGTGGCTTGAAGCCCGGGTATTTTGGGTTGCTGAGTTTAAGAGTTACAGGCTTGGTGAGAAAAGGACACTGCTGGGGAGCGCTGTCTCTTTCTTGACATGGAAGTCTGTTACAGATTACTCCATACGACTCACCGGCACGTGGTACAACACTGTAATATATGAGATGGAAACAGCACTGCACTTAAGTTCAATATTCCTGGGCTCCCATTCAATGTTTATATATTTAGTATCTCTTAAAAAGTCAAGAATTCTTCTGTGAGTCTTATGTCTAGACTTTTGGAGAGGATTTCTTTTCCACTCATATCTCTCACAACTTTTGCTCCTGTACCCTGTAATGCCACTACTGTCCTCCATTAAATTACTAATATATACACATATTTTTCCAACTAAGTTAGCGCTTTTCCCCTCATGTCCTGGAGCATCTACATTAGGAATGATAATATTATTATTCCCTGTTGTGCCCTGCTGATGTGCCATACACTTCTGTTTTCTTGAGTGCTGAATATGGCATTCTTTTGAACAAATGTTTCCTAATGAGATTTTGAATATCAGACAGATTTCCTTCACTGCCTGAAAATACATTGTGTTCTTTGCGGTCGCTGGCAATCAGGACAAACATTACTTCACTGTAGCCTGATCACTTATGTTTATGACCTGTGATTCGCTTGCCGAATACGATACTAGCTCAACACCTCTTCTCAACGTACCCAGTTATTACTTATGCAGCATTGGTTGTGTCTTTCAGAAGCGCTTTTCCACTGGCATTTTGACAGCAAATGTTGTCATTCTTCTGCCTTTAAACTCTCCCATAATTTAGAAGACAATTTTCCTAAATAACCAGATTAATGGTCTTTTTCCACTCCTGTGCTGCTTCTCTGCAGCTAATGAACTTTGCTTTAGCAATCTATACTCTTTGGCGGTTTTGAGATCCTAACTTTCACCCTTTTTCAGAACTGAAAAGACGCTTACTGAGCTCAGGCTCCATTTCAGTGCTGCAGGCTTTGGATCTGTTTCATTTCTTAATGGAAGTTCTTCAGCTACAACTAAATCCAGGTTTAGGTTTATGTTTCCTATTATGCAATTACACAAAAAGGACTGGAGAAAACAAGCCAATACTATTTTAGCATTCTAAAATATTTTTTTCTCTGATGCAAAGTTTGTTTTTTGACGGTCTGCTGTTTGATCCAGGAAATGTAACCAAATCTTACAGAGTCCCTTGAACTGCAGTTCTTGAACCGCTTCAGTTGATTCCTGATACAACTCAGTGATGTGGTTTTCAGCATAATTTGTCTTCGAAATCTCACATGAGGGAATATGAGATCATACCTCCAGCCCAGTTAATCCTAGGCTGACAGCTGGGACAGCACTTTCTACAGCTTCTATCTTGGAATAATCTTTCTGTGACTCATTTTCACTTCAGTATTTCAGCCTCTTAAAACATTTTGCATGTTTGTAATCACCAGTTGGCCTAGTAATTCTGAAATCTTTCTTATATATTAATGGCAGGCTGTGAGAAATCTGAAGCTGAAGTATTTATTGCTTTTACTTTCAATAGCCTGCAGTGATTCAAATTTGGTTGGGTTTGTTTTGTTTTGTTTCTCCCCCCC